GAGCATAACTCAACATCTGGAGCCATCGAGCTAGCTGAAATAAACTGTTTACGCGCCGAAGTGTGTTAGGGTCCAAATCTTCCACCGTAAAGCATGCATCTGTGGCCTGATGAGGCCATAGTTTCAAATGTCGTTGCATCGTCACCTGGCGATATCGTCGTCCGCCCAGGGTCGGGGCAGGGCAGGGCCCTTCTCGGGGGGCACGGCAGGGCGGACAAGTATGTCGGTCTAAGCCTTGGGGGCCAAGCCAGCGTTTACATGATAGCGCGGTCGCGCCACGTTATGGAGTCTGTTGGGTGAGCAGGGGAACGCGGTCATCAACTTGAATCCGCTGCGCGTAATCACCCCGCGCTGCGGCGGCAAAACCGGGCACTGTATGCTGGTGGCTCGAAACGCCCGAGCGAGGCCCATGTAACGCTTGCGTATGCACAGCTCTGAGCGCGCGAGAATGCGCGCTCAGTGCGCGGCCCAACTGGCCCACCCGGGCCTGGGCGGCCGAGCCCGGTGAACAATCTGCGCCAGCCATCGCCGAATTTGCTGGGACCCCCAAGCGCAATCAACCTCAATGAATGTCTCACCTAGCTTGGGAAGGCCAACGGACAGCAGGCGGGCAGCAAGAACAGATCTGACGCGAATCTGATCCATCCAATGCGGGTGCATAACACAGAATTCCCATAGTGTGCACAGATGGTCATTGCCGTGTTTTCTGTACTTGCGTAGCAAATCCCACTGGATCTCTCCAGCTGCCACGGTCATCGATTTAAGTAGTAGGGCCACGCAGCCATGAGCATCAATATGCAGAGGCCCATGGAGGTTATACTCAGTAGCGCGACGAGCAAGCATTACATCATATAGATCATGGAATCGATGCTGTAGTAGGAGTTGCCATCTGTGACGCGCAGCCAAGTGTCGGAGAAAGCTAACCTTTTTCGTGCACTGCGCCTCTATCCGGCGGTCGTGCTAGTCTTGATTCAGCGCCTTCTGCCCATGTGATATGGGCATTCAAGCTCGACGCTGCGCTCGGCGACGGCTCGCGCGAGAGCGCGAAGGGTAAAGAGCACGTAGACGGCCGAGGTGGGGATTGGCCAAATTGTTGTCGTCGGGACGTGTAGATGATACGCGTGCACCTTCTAGCGCATGCACTCGGCGCGTGGGAGCGAGGCAATGAAGAACATGAGGAGCCACTGCTGGCACCCAGGGGCCAAGTGGAGGTACCTACTGCGCTCCTTGACGGGGGCCCCTTGAGAGAGACTTCTGCGTCCTCGGACATGTAACCGAAACGACCAACGCCTCCAGACAGCACCGGGGTCCCACGGGTCAAGGCCCCTTGGTTTATGTAGAGCCCTTGGGAACCGTGCTGGCACATGAAGCTGAGGCCGTCTGGCCCGCGCCCAGGACAACTGAACGGGCCCTGAACGCAACGGGCCGGCACGAGGGTGAACCCAAAGAGCTCCATGGGCTGGCACAAGTCTGCCTCCCATGGTCGTCCCAGGCCTGGCTGCAGGATGGGTGGCAGACTGCGGCAGAGGCGTCGAGCACGGTCTCGTGCTTTGCGTCTTCCCACGCGCAAGCGGCGTAGCGGGCATGAGGCGAGGCATGAAGTAAGAGCCATCGTCAAAACACTTACATGTCCTGAAACCCCAGTTCTGGCAACACATTCTAAAGCCTGACGCTGGATCACGTGGACGGCGCTGATAAACGAATCTGACACCTATACACACAGCACCTGCCACAGGCCAGCTGAGAGCAACGATGCAACTTGGCGGCGGCATGGCTTCTCAGATATGAGATTCGCATGGATGGGCACAACTGTCGACCAACCTGCCGCAATGTGGATAGCATGAACCATTCCATTTAGTAACGGGGGACCCATGAATGTCGTGAGCGGACGCCGAACCTGCATATGTCGGGGTATGATATCGTCTGAGCGAGCCCAAGAGGGTAGCCGCGGCCCCCAAGCTTGGGAGACATATGGAGAGTACGAGCATGATCGCTTGCATCTGTCGTGTACGGTGTGAGGAGCGGGCGTGGCGCGTCCTCGTGAGAGATGCTGCCTGCGTTGCAATCCAAACGATGGTCCGCTTAATGGCAGCTCGAGAAGAAATCCCACCAGCCCTCTGGGCGTCGGTGGTTTAGGGCGTTTCCTCTTCCACCCCTCCCTCTTCCCCTTCGGGGAGGGGTTTACCCCTCCCCCTACCCTTTCCCCACTGACCTGGACAGGAGGGGCGGGGAGCGGTCAGAGCGTCCAAATAGGCCTCGGCGAGGAAGCCAAAATCATTGATTTTACCATGGTTGTGGCCCCATTTTGGCCTTCTGAGGGGGCAGGGCTACTTAAAGCTCCCCTCTTCTTTGACCGATTTCCCCCACGATGGCCGCAAGAGGCACCCAGGATGCCCCAAGAGGCCGCAGGATGGCCCCAAGAGGCACCCCAAGAGGCCCCCAGGAGGCCCCCGAGAGACCCCCAAGAGGCCCCGAGAGACCCCCACCCATAGGCACCCAAGGTGCTCCCAGAGGCCTCGGCGATAATGTCAAACCATTGTTTGCATTAAGGTTTTAGCCTCATGTTGGCCTCTTGGGGGGGGCAGTGATTAAGATGACTCCAAGAACGCCTCGGGGAGCCCAGAATGACCTCCAAGATGGCTTGACAAATCCCAAGATGTCTCATACTTGCTTCCTCTGTGTGCTGTCCACTTCCCTGATCGAGGCAATCCCACCAGCCCTCTGGGCGTCGGTGGTTTAAGGCGTTTCCTCTTCCACCCCTCCCTCTTTCCCTTCGGAGAGGGGTTTACCCCTCCCCCGACCCCCTCCCCCCCTCCCCGTGGACCTGGACGGGGGGGGCCGCGAGCGGTCAGAGCGTCCAAAACGGCCTCGGCGAGGAAGCCAAACTCATCGATTTTACAGAGATTTTGGCATCGTTGTTGGCCTCCTGAGGGGGCAAAGATGGCCCCACGAAGCGCCCAGGAGGCCCCCAAAGGCCCCAAGATGGCCCCAAGAGGCCCCAAGAGGCCCCCAGGAGGCCCCGAACAGGATCCCGAACGGCCCACAGAGGCCCCCCCGAGGCACCCAAGACGCCGAAAAGCCCCTCAGGACGACCCTCTACTCGCCTGGGTGTCGTTTCTGGACGGGTTGGTGGGGATACGCGAAGCGTCTAGAATAATGACATAGATACAGATGCTGAAGGGCATAGTAAGACCAAAATACGGTTTGTTGGACATGGAGACAATCTCGAATCGCACAAAGTAGATGATGATGTGAAACAAAGCAGCGGATGCCGCTGACCGCGCGTATATGTATGAGACCAGCCTCAAGGCTGACCCACCTGTCGTGACCCGGCCCAACGATGGAAAGCTTCGAGGTACTCCTGGCTGGCTTGAACCATCTCGTGGTCGGCTTTTATCTGCCTAGGGGTGTCGTTTGATTGTATGCTTCGTGCGTTCGGTAAGTTGCCGCGTGAACGAGACAAAACCTGCACAGTCATCGATCGTCTCGAAAAAATATGTAGCGTCCAGCTCGCTGCGATAAGTGTCGATCCGCAAGAACGCGGTCGCGGTACATCACTACTTTTGAGACCGTAATGCCACCAACTCTGGAAAATACGCACTGCAACCAGAATCGTTATCGTTATATTGGATGTGAAATGGGTTATGGATAACTGGGTGTGGTTCACGCAGTCCGAAGATAAACGCTCCACGCTCCCAGAAACACAGTTGTGATGTGACGTAAGTTCTTGTTCACTTAGTGCCGTCGTTTGTCCTGGTCCACCGTGTCGGTCAGGTCGATGCCGTCCGCGAAACGGATGTGAATAGACAAACCACACGTCCAACAAATCTTTTCAACGACGACACGAGCGAGAACTATCCTGCAAATTCGGAGGACCGAGGATCTTTGCGGCCTATGTAGGCCTTGACCAGCGCCCTAAACCCTCCGAGTTGGAGGATTCTTGATGCAAAAAGGCTGTAGTGTGCATGAGGCAGCTGTGCACACAAATATGCAGAGCAAACAGACTGATCGCATGCGGGTGTGGGACGTGTCAAGAATTATACAGCGACGCGCATAATGCATGTGTGGCTGGGCCCCGGACTTCCCCAAACTACTTCGAGCAATTGAAGTCGTGTCACATCTATAAGTTGAAACGCAACACGCACACACACACACACACACACACACACACACACGCTTCGCCGTCAGGTCAGGCAGTGCTGAACGGCCACGCAGCTGGGCAGCGGAGAGCGGCAGCGCTGCCGAGAGCAGGCGCTCGTTGACGAGGACACTATGGGGGGGGGGGGAAGGAGCGCGCACCTTTCCGACACCCCTGAGCGGGGTGGGTTATCGGGCATCCATCCGAGTGTCGGCGGCGCGCCCGGGGGGAAGTGAGAAGGGGCGCACCTTCCAAGAATGCTCGGAGTTTCCCCCCCCCCCTCCCCCGAAGACACGGGAGCCTTGCCAGAAGGCGCGAGGGCGTCTGAGAAGCCCTGCCACCTTCTGAAAACGCCTCCTCCTTCGCACTTCCCCCCCCCTCTCGGGGGCGCGCCAACATGGATTAGCGATCCTTGGATTTGGCGCGCGGTCGCCAAATCCATGGATCGGGGGAGGGGCCCTCCCCAAAATGCGGCCGCTGCCGCCTCGACGGCGACAATCCCCGATTTTCCATGGAAACGGGCCCCGTCGCTAATCCACGCCCCCTTGCGATCGCCTGACCCTCGCTCGACGCCGAGATTGGGGGCCCATGCGGTCCCCCCTTCGGCCTGCCGCGCCCCCCCCCCCCCGAACGCGACCCCTGATGTTAGGTCGGGCCTGTCCCCCTACAGGGAGATTGTGGCCGAGAAATTCAACATACTCAAAACATACCCCAGAAGTTCGCCAAACTGCCCCACAAATCGCTCCGACTATGCTTTGACTACTGTTGCACATCCCTCCTGCAGAGGGACAGGCCCGACTTAACCCCGATGCCCGCCCTCCCGCCACGGAGCGCCCGACGAGAGCGAGGCGCAGGGCCCGACCCGCGGAGCGAGCCCCGCTCCTGGAGGCCCCGCAGTGCGAGCTCCTCCTCGCCACGGCCGTGGAGAAGCAGGAGCCGCAGACGTCCTCGATGTCGCTGCCCGCCTCGCTCTCCAGGGCGAGGGGGGGGGAGGGACTCCTCTGATGGACGAGCGCGTTCCACTGCTCGCAGAGAAGCTACTCGCAAATGGTCTGGATCCGCCGCGGGGGATCTACGACAAATTACATCGAAGCAGACACGTGGTTCTCGGGCGTTTGCGAGTAGGCACTTTGCGAGTAGTGTAACGCGCTCGGTGATCTGAGACGGGGACAAGGCAGGAGAGTGCCGGACAGGGATGCGTAGGGGCACCTCGGAGATCTGGCGGCTCCGGAGGACTTCTGTCTGTCGCCGCGGCCTCCTCGGAGCGTTCGGGAAGGCTCGGATTCTCGTCCGGGCCCCGCCCGATCCTCCCCGAGGGGGCCACATGCAAACCCTATCCCTACCCCCCACAACTTCTGAGGGGTAGGGTGGGGTTCGCATGTGGCCCCCTATCCCCCCTCCTCCACTGGGCACAGCTTCACGCCTATGCCGCCGTTCGACGACGACGACCACCTTTTTTCTCCTCTCAGGCGGCCCAGCACGGGCACGGTCTCGACTTCTGAGGCCCCCCTCCCTGAAAATCTCAAGGGGGTGGAGAGCAGTGAGGGGGGGACGCCGTGGGCCAGCTCGCGAAGGGGAAACATCGCACGACGCCGATAGATCGGCGGGAGCCCCCGGGTAGCGAGAAAGTACGGTCCTGGGCCGAGCGTGGGCCTCTCGGGCACCTGTCTCGGCGGTAAACAAACCTCCCTTTAGTAAACCTCCCTTGAATGAAAACGGCCCAGGACGGAAACCGGCGGACCTGGACCCGCAAAAATGACGGCCGCGACGCCCTCTCGCGAACCGACAACGGCCAATTCCCTAATCGACGTGTCAGGGGGGTAGGAGGTCTATCAACCTCCGACTGTCGGCGATGGATGGCCGATTGGGTCGATGCGCCCCCATCCTGAGCCTGCCCCCCCCCCCACGCTGCCCCTGTCCCTTCGAGCAGGCAGGCGGCCCGCGACCGGCGTACCCTCGAGACGGCGTGCAATCGACCCGAGCCCAACCGATCTCCTCTTCGCTCCCGCTCGACCATGGGCGCAACCAAGTGGGAGACACGACTTTCTGCACCGCCCCACTCCCCTTACACACAGAGGAGCGACAAAACTGCATAAAGATCAATTGTTGGAGGTTTGCAAGGATTTCTTGGATCTTCGCTGGGAGCCCCTCCCTGGCGCGCGGAGCGCGCCAGGGGCGGCGCCGGAGGTGCCGCCAAGGGGGCCCAGCGCAGATCCAAGAGATCCCTGTGGAGCTCCGAACATTATGCTTATGCAGTGGTTCTTCTTCAAACACAGACGCATTCACATTCACATTCGCGTTCACATTCAAATGCACATTCACATTCACATTCACACGCACACACATGCACACACACACACACGCGCACCTTTTTGAATCATCAACTCGCGTCAGGATCCTCGATCCCTCCGCCCCTCCGCCTTCTTTTCTCAGACAACCTGTCGGGGCGACGCTCCGCCAGCAGCATCCGCCCCTCCGCCTCCTGCCGCTTCTCGTTCTTCGGATGTTGGCAGGACTTGGTTTACTGGTGACTGGTGGCAGACGATCAAGAAAAGCATTTGGGGGGGACGATGTAAGAAATGGTTTCCCCTGATCCGTGGCCCCCACCATAGCGAGCCAAGAAGCTCGGCCCACGGAAGGTGGACAATTCGCGTTGGTTCCGGGGCCGTCCAGGAGGCCAGCGGAGGCCCGAGGGCTGACGATTGGTGAGAGCCAAGTGAGCGACGTGTACCCGCGGGACGCTCCCCCGCCCCATTCCACTGGCCGGCACTGCTGTCCCTGGACGGGGGACCAGCGTCGGCAGATCTGGTTCAGTGATTCTGGCTCACTCTTCGGGCTCCAGGGCCCAATCGCTAGTGGGCCCCCCTTACACTCGACCAGGATAGTAAGGATGCGCGGTAAGGATGCAAGGGCCTTGGAACGCCATGTTGACGTTTCCCGTGCGGAGCGCAGCGAATGCCGAAGGATGCCGAATACAGAAGGGGCAAGGATGCAAGGGTAGCCTTGGAAAGATGCCCCATCCTTACTGTCATGGTTGACTGTATCCGACCCGTCCTCTGAGCTCCGCCGAGGGAGAGCGCGCGGCCAGCGAGGACCGACGCACCGCGGCCGCCGAAGGCGCCCCAAATCTCGTGGGGGGGGGGGGAGGGGGGCGCCGCAGGGGCCTGGGGCCACGGGCGCCCACCCCCCCGCCCAGAGATTGGAAGGGGGCTCGGCTGTGTTCTCTGTTACTCTAATCACCACCACCGACGCCACTGTCGAAATCGCCGCCGTCGGCGTTCCCGCTGCCAATCTTGTCCTCTTTCTCCGCCCTCGATCGCCGACCCTGGACCTCCGATCCCCGACCATCCTCGACCCCCGAACCTCGACGCTCGCTCCTCCGCCCTCGGGCCGTGGCCCTCGGTCCTCGACCCTTCGATCCTCGGCCTTCAGTCCTTGACCACTCCATCCTCGACACCGGACGCTCGACCCTTCTCGGTCCGCGACCCTTGAAGGGGCCCTGGGATACACGGATAAATACACACGTAAAAAAGGATTCCCCATATGTTCCCCATATTTTCAGAATTTCTGTCTTCCCCCCCACTGCATGTATTTTCCCATATTTTCGGGGGAATCGTCGATTAACTGTGTCTGTGTGTTTTCTCTCTCCTCCTGAACCCTGGACCCTCGATCGGTCGACCCTCGACCTTCGACCTCGAGCCTGTCGCCCGCCGCTCCCCCGGCGAACGCGCGCGGGCGCTCCCCGCCAGGCAGCAAAAGTCCGACCCGTCCGAGTCTTCCGGCACGTCGGCCTCCCGAGGGGGCGGCGGGCGGGGGGAGGGCGACAGGCCGTGCCGAGCCGTCGTGGCTACAGGTGGCACCGTTTCACACGCATGTGTCGCCCAATCGTACTGGCTGACTTTTCCTTGATGCATCTCTGGCTCCAGACGCTCCCCTGAAGCAGTGCAAACGAAACGAGGCGAGGCGGCGGGGAGGGGCGGCGGGGAGGGGCGGGCAGGGGGCGGGGCGGAGGGGCGAGCAGGGAGGCGAGCAGGCGAGGATGGGTCGGTCGCAAGCGGCAGTGGCGCAAGCGCCGTGCCCGTCTGCTGCAGCAGCACTCTCCCCGCGAACCGAGGGGCAGCAACTCTTCCGCCCGCCGCCCTCCAGAACGAGGAGGGGCGCCCGGCCCCGAGCAGACCAGAACTGCCATGGAGCACCTGGCCCACCCGGCACGAGGGGAGGAGGGAGAGGAGAAGAGGGAAGCCAGAAACGAGGATCAAATGGGGGGGGACCGGCTCAGCGGGGAAACGTCGACCTGGCATCGGCGACACGTCGCCGACAGATCGGCGGTGGCCCCCCGATCACCTGTGCCCGGCGGGCCACTGGGCCCATGTCGGCGATGAATGGGCGATTGGGGGTCGATGCGTCTCCCCCCTGAGATCACCCCCCCCTCCCCGACGTTGCCCCTGATCCTCGTGCTCCTCGATCCTCGAGAAGTGTGCCAGCCTGGGGCGGGGCGTTTGGGGGGGAAGCATGCCTCCTCAATCCTCGATCCTCCTCAATCCTCCACCCTCCTCCTCGATCCTCGACCCTCGACCGTCCTCCTCCTCCCATTCCCCTGCACCTCCTTTGCCTCCTCCTTTTCCTCGTCCTCCTCCTCCTGTTCCTTCCTCGACCCCCTCGTTGTTCCTCTCGATCCTCGAAAACATGCTGGCCCGTGGCGGGACATTGCGGGAGGGCGGCCCGGCGGGCCTCCTGCTCCTCACCCCCCTCTGGGCCGTCCTCCTCGTCGGGCTCCTCGTCGGGCTCCCGCGGCGCAGCCACCGCGTCCTCCTGCGGCCGGTCGCGCCGTCGCCGGCGTCGTCGTCGTCGTACTCTTCAGAGGCAGTTGTCCACAAGGATCGCTGGATCGAAAGAGGAGCAACCTGCTTGAGATCAGGAAGACCCAGTTTCCTGACCACATGTTTCCGATCGGGGCAGAACACTCAATCCCGTCGGGAATTCTCCAACGCCACGGCCGAAGAGGCTCCAAACCGCAGCGCAGGAGGAGGCAAACAGTAGCGCAGTGTCGACCACACAAAAGAGTGACCCTGTGTAAGAGTGACCTTTGGTGCGCGGCTTTTTTGGGGGAGCGAGGAGGCCAAACAAAAGCGCGCAAGATCCTACAACCGCACCGCACGCGACGATCGGCGGACCCCAACGGGCGCGCACCAAAGGTCACTCCGGCGAACGGTCACTCTTACGTACAACCGACAGTAACAGAACAGATGCCCCAAACGTGACGGACCCAAGCGCTAGGCGGCATGGACAGGAGGTCTGACACTATCCTCTCGACGAGCCGTGCTGGCGCTGGAAGTGGCGAGAGCAGAGCAGCAGACCAGTGCAGAGCAGAGCAGAGCAGAACGGCCACAAATCCGTCTGGCGGGACGGCTCCGTAGTGCGCTTCGCGCACGGAGAGACCGTACATGTGCGCGGTACCGTGAGACCGTGAAACATTGAAACGTCAGACGCTGGAGGACACACGCACGAAGGCAGAGAGGGACGCACGACAAGCGAGAGAGAGCCTCAAAGAGGCTGGAAGTGGCGAGAGAGAGCCTCAAAAAGTTGATCAGGGCCATCGCCGTGGTAGTGGCTGGGTCAGAGAGGCCCATGTCCAGCTCGGGCTGCGTGGTACAGGATCCCTGCGTACTGCCCGTGCGAAGAATGCCTCCCATCAACACCGAAGGTGGCGTGCCGTACGCCTGAATTACAAGCGTAGGAGACACAATGGATGGCGGTAATCGTGGCCAGCCTCAAGGCAACCCTCCTGTGATAAAGAGTGCCGCGGGCAATATTAGCAATATGATTGAAATGAAATCTAGCCTTTCTAATTCTCTTTTGAAATTTAGACTGGGCTCGACGAATACTGCCTCTGTCGGAACCCAAATCCACCACGCGATCCTTGAACGGAATTCGAAGCCTGATGTCCTCCAGCTTCTACTCCAAAAGCACGCCAGCAACTACCGAAGAGTTGAAGATGTGTGAAGATGTTTGACTTCGGGGGGATGGTGAGGTTGAGCTGGTCGCCATCGTCCGTGAGGGATTGGGCAACTCTCGTGAGCTGCTCATACTGGAAAATGGATTGGCCTGTCTTCAGAGAGGCATGTGTGTCGCGAACGAGAAGGGTGGACCGCAAAGGGCGAGGGTACCTTTGTCGCGCGCCCCTGGCAGCGGCGATTTCCGCATGGGGCAGCATGCATAAAGAATATGCAGACTGGGCGAAAAGAACAAAGAAGAACGGAAACAGGAAGAGATGGACGACCAATACTTCCGTCGCCACGGAATTAATGGAACGGCCGGATCTGCCCAACTGTTTCGTTGTTCTGGATGCAACGTTCGAACTCGCTGCGATACTCAAAAACGAACCCGGGACGAAACATCAAGCGACAAGACACAACATCCCAAGGGTCCAGCAGGAAAGACGAAATAAGGAGAAGGTGGGAGCAGGAGGGATGAGGATAAGGAGGGAAGAGGAGAAGGAGGGGGGATGAAGCAGGAGGGAGGAGGACCGATCAGCAGGAGGATCAGGGGGGTGGAGCAGACCAGGTGTGAGGAGGAGGAGGAGGAAAAGAAGGAGGGAAGAGGGGAGGGGGCGGGAAAGATGAGGGCCAAGGAAGGGATGAGAACGTAGCAGGCTGCGGGGAATAGAGGGAGGAGGGGTAAGAGGGGGGAGGACTAAAGCCGGAAGGGCAGAAGAGAACGAGCACGAAGAGCGAGCGATGGTGAAGGGGCGGCCCTCCTCCTCCTCCTCCTCCTCCTCCTCCTCCTCTCCATCCCCCCCTCCTCCTCCCCCCCTCCTCCTCTTCCACCGCCGCGACGCCGCGACGACCTCTGGATGCTGGTGACACGCACGGAAAGGACGGCGCTCAGTCTTGGTCGTGGTCCTCCTCCTCTTCCCCTCCAGCGGGCGGAACAAAGCAGGCGGCGGGTCGCCCGAGAGGCGACACGGGCGAACATTGGACCCGCCGCCGGGCCTCACGGGTGCCACGCAGCCGCAAGCAACAAGTGCCCCGCCTCGGGACACGAGACGGGAAGCACGGGTGCCGATGGCACGAAGCTGCCTGGCGTTACTCCGCCTCCGCCCCCTCTTCCCTTCTCCCCCCCCGCTTTCTCCTCCTTGCTGGTGCTCCTGCTCCTCCCCCCCGCCCTCCGCGCGCGCGGGGGGACGAGGGAGTGAGGGGGGAAATGGTTGATTGGAGGAAGCAACGAGGCGGACGGAGGAAGGAACACGGAGGGAGGAGGGTCCCCTCACTCCTCCTGCATCCGCGCACCGCTTCGGAACACCGCGGCCCGCTCCTGGCCGGCGCCCTTCGAGCGAGGGCACCACGTCGCGAGGCCGTGGCAGCCCTCGCACTGTGACCTCTCGGGGGGGGGCGGCAGGAGGTGCAGAGGGGACCGCCCAGGCCTCCAGTGACTCGAGAACATCGTGACTGAAATCTTTCGCCAAGCTCGACAAGGGCTCAGGATGAAAAGACAGTCCCCAGGGTAGGATTCGGTCGGGCCTGTCCCCCTACAGGGGGATATGCCAACAATACTCAAAAAGATGCCCCAAACTACTCAAGAAATAGCCCCCAAAAATACGCAAAATATGCCCCCAAAGACTCAAGAAATAATAAGGGATAGTCCCAATGTAGACGGACAGGCCCGACTCAAGGGTAGGAGGTCGAGAACTCTGGGGCCCCCTCCATCACAGAAGGGACGACATCGGACATCTTCTCGGAAGGAACACGACCGGGTCATTTTGCGGCTCCATCCCCGCGCCCTCCTCTGTCGCCCTCGAGGGGCCACCGGGGCTTCTCGGGCCGCCCCTCCGCTCCCAAAAAAGCCCTCGTGGTCATGAGGGAGTCTTCTCAAAGTACCTCGGAATGGACTGTCGGGGGGAACGAAAGGGGGGGATCGCAAAGGGCAGGGTAGAGAATCGGCTCACGTAGCTGATTTTCCCAGCGCCTCCCGGCGCCGGGAGGCGCACGTGTATCGAGGAGTGGGCCCGGCGGCGGGGCCGAAACCAGCTGCATGCAGCAGATTTCGTACCCCCCCCCCTTTCCCCATCCCCCCCATTCGTTCGGCCCGAGACTGGGGAGGATTCGAGTTGCGCGCGCTCAACAGGCCCCCCGAGTAGCCTGACTCGGTCGCAGAACCCTGGCGCCGCCTCCAGCGGCGCCCAGGGGGCGCTCCGCGCCCTAGAATTGCGGTGTCGAGACCGCCCCAGACTACTGGGCGGTCCTGTTCAGGTCAGCTAGGGCTATCTGGCTCGCAACCCCGAAACTTTACCGACGATGCCAACACCTTCTAAGAAACCCTCCGCTCTTCCGTTGTCGCTCGACGCCTCCTCGTCCCATAACATCCACCATACTGCCACCGGCCAATGCATGCTCGCCATGAGATCTGGGGAGATATCATTGCTCTCTGGCCATGATCTCCGCACACCCCTGGCTGTCCCCCACCCTCTTGGACGCCCCCGACACTCCTTCCTCCCTCGCGCTCCCAGGGCAAGGACAAATCATAATGTTTATTGTGATCTTCGGCGAAATAGAAGGAGGCAAGAGGAGAGGTGCGAAAAGGGGGTGGAGACGGGTACGGTGCTTGCAGAGAATCTGTTCGCGGCCGTCCGAAATCAAATCATGTGTGCTTCTCACGCTCCTATCGGGAACGCACTGACCCAGGTCAATGCAACCCCAGGTCAATCGAGCCTTGCAGGATTCCGAAAGATCCAGCGCTCTGACTGACCCCCGTCTGCATTGATCCCCGTCTCTTGAGCCCCGATCCTAGTCTGGTCGCTAACCGCCGGCGGGCATGCGCAGCATCCTCCTCCTCCTCCTCCTGCTCCTCCTGCTCCTCCTCCTCCTCCTCCTCCTCCTCCTGCTCCCCGTTTGCGTCGTCGTCATCCTCCTCATCCTCCTCCCTTGCCAGCTGCAGCAGAGAGTTCCCTTCCCATCGCGCTCCTAGCAGGCAAGCAGACAATGTACATGCACAGACGCCGCAACTCAAGAGCTCCAAGTCATTCCTGCTCCCGCGTGCCCCTTCCGCGAGACACACCTTGGCCAAGTAAGGGAGGAGCGACGAGAACTTTGGAGGCGCCCGCGCACCACGCGTCCAGGGGCGAGCCGAACTCGCTCGCCCCCCCCCCTCATCGGGCAACTCGACGCCGCAAGGCTTAGTTCGGGCCTGTCCCCGAACAGGGGGATTTGGGATGAAAAATATAAAAGTTCAAAAATATTTGAAAGATGCCCAAAAATACTAAACAAAATTGGCCCCAGACTATTTCTTGACTATTTTTGAATATTCCCCCTGTAGATGGACAGGCCCGACTTAACGCAAGGCATCCTGCAGCCGGGCGCGCCCAGGGGGGCCAGGAAGAAGGCGGTCAGCACATCGTGGCCCCAGGCACGTGCACGCACGAGTGGGCGCTGGGGAAGGTGCCGAGCGAGAGACGAGGGGGGGGGCTATGACCTCTGGGACAGATCATCGCCCCGACCAGGACATCCAAACGCCACCAGACCTCAACCCCGCTCTTGGATGCCGTCGACCTTCCTCGGGCTCAGGCTCCTCGACGCCGCAAGGCACGCTGCAATGCTCCCCTGCCTCTCCATCTTTCTTTGTCCGCTGCCCCCGGAGCGCACCAATGGGGGAAGCGTCTATCACCATGCTCTACACTGGCGCACGCTGCCTCGGCGGCAGAGGCCTCCTACCGCCTCTGCCGCCCCCTTGGGCTAGCGTCGCTGAGTCCGCACGAGGCTGCACAAAACTGCTCCCCTCGACGCGAGGCTTCGGCCCTGTCGCAAAACCGTGCTAAATCACGATGGCTGCGGCCGCCGCGCCTGTGACGTCGCAGCTGCACGGGAAGCCCCGCAGCCTGAAGCCGGTACAGCAGTCGACGAAGGCCTTGCCACAAAAACCGCAGTCCGGGGAGCCCGCTTCGCCGGTGCCGTTGTGCAAGGAGCACGGGCACGGGCGGCCCTTGATGCTGGAAGCGGCGCAGCAAGCCGCGTATCCCACCCCGCAGTCGCCGGGCTTCTCGCACCGTCCTGGCGGGGGGCTTGGAGATGATACCCAGACGCGCATCTGGCTGTACTCGCCCAGGACTTCGCACGAGCCGACGGCGAAGTCGCCGACCTTCGTCCGCGCGCCGCTGCAGTCCGTCTCCCCCTGGTAGTGATAGCTGGAGTACGTCGCCTCGTCGAGGTACTCGGCCCGTATCGAGGCCGGCGCTGGGATGAGGTAGGGCTTGCACTCACCGAGCTTGTCGGTGCTCAGCACCTCGAAGTCGCCCGTGCAGTTGCCGCTGCCCTTCCACCGCCTCAGCTCCGCTGCCGTCGCCGAGGCGGCTGCGCAGAGCGTGGGCGCCAAGACGAGCAGCCACGCCAGCATGGCTCTGCAGTCGAAGACGTGGGGGGGTCGGCAGGGTCGAGGCTTCGAGTCCAGGATGGCTGAAGCCAAAACGGCTACGGATGCAACTTTCCTCTGTCTCTGTCTCGCTGCTCATGGCCGAACTCACTCTCGCAATTTTCACCTCCTCATTCCCGAACTTCCCCCGAGCCGGTCGTGAACGAAGCTCCCTTGAACGGGACACACGGGCTCATACGCTGCCGAGGTCTGGCCTGTCCATATCATTGTCACATGTCTATGTATGAATACATGTATACATACATATCAATGTCCCATGGCACACGTCTAAATACACATATCTACATATACATGGGTTTGCATGGATGCATGCATGCATGCATGTAAGTATGTATGTATGTATGTATGCATGCATGCAGGCATACATGCATACATGCATTCATATCTGTATGCATGCATGCATGCATGCATGTATGTATGCATGCATGTGTAAGTATGTATGCATGTATGTATGTATGTACGTATGTACATGTGTATGCATGTATGGATGAGTATATGTATGTATGTATGTCTGTATGTCTGTATGTATGTCTGTATGTATGCATGTGTGTGTGTGTGGATGTAGATATGTATATATGCATGCATGCATGCATGCATGCATGCATGCATGCATGCATGCATGCATGTATGTATGTATGTATGTATGTCTGCATGCATGCACGTATGCATGTATGTATGCATGTTTGCCGGACTGTATGTGTGTATGCATGTGTGTATGTATGTATGTATGTATGTATGTATGCATGCATGCATGTATGTATGTATGTATGTGTGTGTGTATGTATGTATGTATGTATGTATGTAAGTATGGATGTATGTATGTATGCATGTATGTATGTATGTGTATGTGTATGTGTATGTGTATGTGTATGTGTATGTGTATGTGTATGTGTATGTATGTATGTATGTATGCATGCATGCATGTATGTATGTATGTAGTTATGTATGTATGTATGTATGTATGTATGTATGTATGTATGTATGTATGTGTGTGCATGTGTGTGTATGCGTGCATGCATGTATGTGTATATGTAGGTATAGGTATGTATGTGAGAACACACACATATATATGTATATATGTATGCGAACGTATCAGACGCAGTGACGGGAAGAGCTGGGTTAAGCAACCACATGTGAGATCTAGCCTTGCAGGTCAGATTTATGTAAAACCAGCTGGGGCTCAGAAATCGATGGATGTGGGCAACCAAGATTGTTGTTGCGGGCCCTCTGTCATTGGCGAGACGATTCGCGACCTGAATGCTCGAGCCCAGCACGGTGCGGCGCTAGGCATCCTATGCAGACGGTGAGCTGTCTTGAGTCTCGCGGTGACACGCTCCGTCGCCAGGACAACGCCACTGCCAAGCGGAAACCCAACCTGCCGGGCGGCATGTCGGCAGCCGAGTGAATCCCAGAGGGGGTGCTCGCTACCCCAGCGCCGAGCAGGTCTGCAGGGGCAGAATTTCGCTTGTGGTCGCGGCTGGGGAGGAGGATTGATGGGCTTGTTCTCCACCGCCACCATAAGTTGGAGGGGGAGGGGGTCCTCCTCCTCCTCCTCCTCCACCTCCTTCCCCCCTCCAACTTATGGTGGTGGTGGTGGTGGAAAACAGGCCCATCAAGGATGAACAGGAGGAGGACGACGACAAGATATGAAGTCGCCCGAGGAGGACAAAGTGGACGATGATGACAATGCCTGGGACTTCGCTGAGAATCTGGGCAGGGATTCGGCACCACCGCTTCCAACGGGGTGAAATTTCGTATACACTTTGCGACGGTAAGCTGCCCCTGCAAAGATAAGCCCGGCCAGCCCCAACCCTCAACAAACCGGCCAACCTCCTGGCCAATCCCCCCTGGCCAACCCTGGTCAGGGCAGCCCAATCGGGTAGATATAGTAGAGCTGATGGTCGTAGGCGTTCTTCAAGGGCCGCCTCAAACTCGCCGAATTTCTGGGCCCTCTCTCGCGCATTCCTGGGGCTCCTCGCGCAACTCTTCCAAAGATCGACACCTTCAATATTCAACTAGGAAATCGGATACAGAATTGCTCCACCCCCAAGTTTTTTGTTTCTCGAATCGATCTAACAAACTGCGTAATTAGAAAGGTTCTCAGATCTACGGAACAATATACGACTATGTTTTCGGTTCGGCGGTCAGCAATTCTGGGGTATATGAATGTTAGCTGGCATCCTAATTACTCGAAACATGCCCTGATGATCAAGATGTTCCCAGACGGGCGTGCTGAGGCTTTATTGGGGGTCTCTTGGCAAGACGAAGTCAAGATGATGACAAATTCGGATGAGGATAAATCGAGGATCTATGAGTTCCAGCGGATCTAGAGGATGTCTCGGGCGCCGCGGCCTTTTCAAAGAAGGGAACGATCTGAGAACGTTCTGGAACGCTCTGGAACGGATTGATCTTTGTCCCAGCCCAGCCCGACTGAGGCTCTCTTGGGGGCCTCTTGGGCCGTCTTGGAGGCCCCAGAAGTTGGCCCAAGAAGCCCACATCCGCCGACCCCTTGTGGGTCTCCAGACGTGTGTGATGTCATCAACACTGGAGAATTGTTGAATGACTTGTGCATCCTCGGAGTCCAAGTCTTACTGCCGGCCAGGACGGCCCGATACGCCCCAAGACCTGCCCAACGAGGGGCCCCATACTTCAATGAGGGGGAGCTCGACCTGTACTTTGGAGCTCTCCACCCCAAGATGCCCCCAAGATATAGCCAGCATTTCGCAAAGAGGCGCCTTGAGGCCTCCACAAGCCCACAAGATGCCTTCAGAAGGCCCCGAAAGGGCCCTCCAACCGACCCCGAGTGGCTCCTCAACAGGCCCCGAAAAACATATGAGAGGCATCGTGTCCACAACCCAACCACGGTGTCGGGATGGGACGAAGGTCACTAAATCCGCCCCCCTTTTTGTTCTTGCCACAGGAAGCCCAGGGAGGCCCCCAAGATGCCTCCAAAGGCTCCCAGGAACCTCCCAGGAGGCCCCAAGAGCGCCCCCAGAGGCTCCAAAGATGTCCCCTCCTCCTCCTCCTCCTCATCCTCTTCCTCCTTTTCTTCCTCCTGTTCCCACTCCTTGTCCTCCTCCTTGTCCTCCTCCTTTTCCTCCTCCTGTTCCTCCTGTTCCTCCTGTTCCTCCTCGTCCTCGTCCTCGTCCTCGTCCTCGTCCTCCTGCTCCTACTCCTCCTCCTCAACCACTGGGACGGACTCAATACCCCCCTACCCATCGCTGCCCGTCAGGGGGAGCGGGAGAAGGGAGCGACAGCGGCTTGGCAGGAGGCCCGCGTGAGCGAACGCGCGCGCGCGAGGGAACGAAGGCGGGGTGGCCTGCTGCCACCGCAATGACCTCCGCGCTTGGCCTCCGGGGCGGGCCAGGGGACTGTCGTCTTGTCGAGACTGCCGCTACCTCCGCCGCCGTCGTTGTCAACGCCGCCGTCCATCACCGGGGGTACATGTTTTTGTAGGGCATGTTCCCCCAAGTAGGCTTCCCTAAAAGGCCCTTCCTTGCTTTTGGATATGCGATGGGTGCGAGGCCTGCGCTGATTGGCGTTTTTCGGGGTTCCTTGGCATTGTTTCTTTACAGTGGCGCTGCTCGGCGTTCCTTACCTCCGTTTCCTTACCGGTCGCATTCGTTGGGGTTGCTTGGCGTTCGTCGGGGTTGATTGGTTTTGCTTCTTTACAATGGCGTTATTGGGGATTGCTTGGTCTTGTTTCTTTACAGTGGCCTTCCTCGGGGTGAATCGGCACTGTTTCTTCACAATGGCTTTCCGACGGGTCCTCACCTCCGTTTCCGAACAGTGCCTTGCCCCGTGCTTACTTGGTCTTGCGTCCTTGCTGCTGCAATGCCAAGCGAAACTAAGCAAGGCCAAGCAACCACAATAAACGCAAGGCATTGCCAAGCACCGCCAAGCAATGCCAAGCAACGCCACGCAATGCCAAGCAATGCCAAGAACCACCAAGCAACGCCAAGGACCGCCGAAAGCAACGCCAAGCAACTGGTCAAGCAATGCCCAGCAACGACAAGCAATGCTAAGTAATGCAAAATAGCGCCAAGCAGAAAAAATATTGCCAAACAAAGCATAGCATCGCCAAACAATGCCAAACATTGCGACCATGCAAGAAGAAACTTTCCCCTCAATTTGGATCGCGCCGGGTCCGTTTCGGAGAGGGGGGGATGGAAGGACAGCGATTTCGCGAATCACCGCATGCCACCCACAGCCTGCCAGGCCAACAGTTACCCTGGCGACGTACCCAACCCTTGCGCAATGCGGGGCATAAGTACATCAGGGTTGCTACAACGTGGGCGATGACATAACATGGACGCATGTGATTTTGCCAGCAGCAATTGAAAGGCTCGCAGGCCCCCGACCGAGATATAAGGGCGTCGTAGTGGTTACCAGGGCAGCCCCCCCCCAGGGACGGCGAGGTCTCGCTCAGGTCCCCGCGGCGCCTCACTCCGATGGACCCACCAGCAGCCCTCGAAAGTGGCGACGGTGTCGCAGATCGCAGCCCCACGAAGACGGCGAGGTCTCGCTCAGATCCCCGCTGTGCCTCGGTCCGCAGGGCCCACCAGCAGCCCTCCAAAATGGCGACGGTGTCGCAGATCGCAGCCCCACGAAGACGGCGAGGTCTCGCTCAGGTCCCCGCGGTGACTCAGTCCGCAGGGCCACCAGCAGCCCTCGAAAGTGGCAACAGTTTCGCAGATCGCAGCCCCCCAGGGACGGCGAGGTCTACGCCAGGCCCCCGCGGTGCCTCAGCCCGCAGGACCCACCAGCAGCCCTAGAAAATGGCGACAGCGTCGCAGATCGCAGCCCCCCAGGGACGGCGAGGTCTACCTCAGATCCCCGCGGTGCCTCAGCCCGCAGGACCCAACAGCAGCCCTCGAAAGTTGCGACGGTGTTGCAGATCACAGCCCCCCAGGGACGGCGAAGTCTACCTCAGATCCCGCGGTGCCCCAGTCCGCAGGACCCACCAGCAGCCCTCGAAAGTGGCGACGGTGTCACAGATCGCAGCCCCCCAGAGACGGCGAGGTCTCGCTCAGATCTCCGCGGTGCCTCAGCCCGCAGGACCCACCAGCTACCCTCGAAAGTGGCGACAGCTTCGCAGATCGCAGCCCCCCAAGGACTGCGAGGTCTCGCTCAGGTCCCAGTGGTGCCTGTCTCCGCTGGACCCACCAGCAACGCTAGAAAGTGGCGACCGTGTCGCAAATCGCAGCCCCCCAGGGACGGCGAGGTCTACCTCAGGTCCCCGCGGCGCCTCACTCCGATGGACCCACCAGCAGCCCTCGAAAGTGGCGACGGTGTCGCAGATCGCAGCCCCCCAAGGACGGCGTGGTCTCGCTCAGATCCCCGCGGTGCCTCAGTCCGCAGGGCCCACCAGCCCACCAGCAGCCCTCGAAAGTGGCGACGGTGTCGCAGATCGCAGCCCCACAAAGACGGCGAGGTCTCGCTCAGATCCCCGCGGTGCCTCGGTCCGCAGGGCCCACCAGCAGCCCTCGAACGTAAGTGGCGACAATTTCGCAGATCGCAGCCCCACGAAGACGGCGAGGTCTCGCTCAGGTCCCCGCGGCGCCTCACTCCGCTGGACCCATCATCAGCCCTCGAAAGTGGCGACAGTTTCGCAGATCGCAGCCCCCAAAGGACGGCGAGGTCTACCTCAAGCCCCCGCGGCGCATCACTCCGCTGGACCCACCAGCAGCCCTAGAAAGTGGCGACGGTGTCGCAGATCGCAGCCCCCCAAGGACGGCGAGGTCTACGTCAGGCCCCCGCGGTGCCTCAGCCCGCAGGACCCACCAGCAGCCCTAGAAAGTGGCGACAGCGTCGCAGATCGCAGCCCCCCAGGGACGGCGAGGTCTACCTCAGATCCCCGCGGTGCCTCAGCCCGCAGGACCCAACAGCAGCCCTCGAAAGTGGCGACAGTGTTGCAGATCGCAGCCCCCCAGGGACGGCGAAGTCTACCTCAGATCCCCGCGGTGCCTCAGTCCGCAGGACCCACCAGCAGCCATCGAAAGTGGCGACGGTGTCACAGATCGCAGCCCCCCAGAGACGGCGAGGTCTCGCTCAGATCCCCGCGGTGCCCCTGGACACACCAGCAGCCCTCAACAGTGGCGACAATGTCGCAGATCGCAGCCCCCCAAAGACGGCGAGGACTACCTCAAGTCCCCGCGACGCCTCACTCCGCTAGACCCACCAGCAGCCCTCGAACGTAAGTGGCGACAGTTTCGCAGATCGCAGCCCCCCAAGGGCGGCGAGGCCTACCTCAGGTCCCGGTGGTGCCTCACTCCGCTGGACCCACCAGCAGCCCTCGAACGTGGCGACAGTTTCGCAGATCGCAGCCCCCCAGGGACGACGAGGTCTCGCTCAGATCCGCGCGGCGCCTCACTCCGCTGAGCCCACCCGCAGCCCTCGACAGTGGCGACAGTTTCGCAGATCGCAGCCCCCCAGGGACGGCGAGGTCTCGCTCAGGTCCCAATGGTGCCTCACTCCGCTGGACCCACCAGCAACGCTAGAAAGTGGCGACCGTGTCGCAAATCGCAGCCCCCCAAGGACGGCGAGGACTACCTCAAGTCCCCGCGATGCCTCACTCCGCTAGACCCACCAGCAGCCCTCGAAAGTGGCGACAAGTTCGCAGATCGCAGCCCCCCAAGGGCGGCGAGGTCTACCTCAGGTCCCCGCGGTGCCTCACTCCGCTGGACCAACCAGTAGCCCTAGAAAGTGGCGACGGTTTCGCAGATCGCAGCCCCCCAGGGACGGTGCACACACACACACACACACACACACACGCACGCACGCACGCACGCACGCACGCACGCACGCACGCACGCACGCACGCACGCACGCACGCACGCACGCACACGCACACACACACACACACACACGCACACGCACACGCACACGCACACGCACACGCACACGCACACGCACACGCACACGCACACGCACACGCACACGCACACGCACACGCACACGCACACGCACACGCACACGCACACGCACACGCACACGCACACGCACACGCACACACGCACACGCACACGCACACGCACACGCACACGCACACGCACACGCACACGCACACGCACACGCACACGCACACGCACACGCACACGCACACGCACACGCACACGCACACGCACACGCACACGCACACGCACACGCACACGCACACGCACACGCACACGCACACGCACACGCACACGCACACGCACACGCACACGCACACGCACACGCACACGCACACGCACACGCACACGCACACGCACACGCACACGCACACATACACATACACATACACATACACATACACATACACATACACATACACATACACACACACACGCGCACACACACACACACGCACACACACGCACACACATAAACACACACACACACACGCGCACACACACGAGGTACGTACAAGACAAGAAGAGACAAGACGGAAGCGGGAGACGGGAGGCGGGAGGAGGAGGACTGGAGACTGCAATGCTCTATTCAAAACGAATATCCAACCAAGGAAGGTTGGGAAAACGAGAGACGGGAGGCGGGAGGAGGAGGAGGGGGAGAAGGACTGGAGACCGCAATGCTCTATTCAAAAAGAATGCCCAACCAAGGAGAGTTTGGGACAAAAATTGGACGCGGGCAGAGAAGCACGTGCACGTGTCTCGGAATCGGTACAGGACTGGCCACACTCATCACGGGGGTACACCTTGCGAACGTGCCCCATCAAAGAGACCTCTTTAGCACAGGGGTGTCGACGAGGAGGTATTCAAGGAGGAAGATTGAAGGAATCAGGATGACTACTAGAAGGCTGGAGGGAGAAAACAGAAGAGGAAATAATACAGAAGAAAGAACACCCATACCACCGACGTCGTAACGTTTTCGCAATGTGGCATCCCAACATCCCCCCTCGGCATTTTTGTCCAAGGCTGCACCCGGACAAATAACTTGTTCATCCTATGTTATTCATTCACAACCCTTGGGCCCAGTGAGGGCTTCCAGAGGCCGATTTGTTTGTGAGTTTCTTCCAGGTGCGAAGGCTTTTTCCCAATGCGAGGTGGTCTGTCGGGCAGACGCCGTCTGCGGGGTGAGACGTGCGCAGCAGCAGCGGGCTGGGCGGAAGGCCAGTTCTGGAGGACGGAGGAGATGCGTCCGTTCCCGACGGTGGCGCGCGCGCCAATGCACTCCAGCGCACCGATGTTGCGCAACGTGCCTCTGCGCGCGTGGTGCCACGCTGAAGAGCAGGAAGAGACGGTGGTCCGAAGTGGCGCCTGGCTCCTCCCCGCTGCCTGGGTGGGGCAGCAGCAGCGGCATCACCGGCACCAGAGAGCAGGACGGACGCCAGGTTCTCGTCTATCCTCCTTCGCCTTCCTCATTCTCCGCCTGTGGCGATCTCTCTGCGACCGCCACTGCCCCGCCTGATGGGCCCACCGCTACCATAGGTAGGAGAGGACGATGAGGAGCTGAAGGAGGAGGAGGAGGAGGAGGACCTCCTCATCCTCCCTTCTCCCCCGTCCTACATATGGTAATGATGGTGGAAAATGTGCCCATCACCGCCCCCATCATCTGGCACTTGCACGTCGTCGGGAGGCCCAGGCGGTCGGGTAGCAGGAGGCGCAGAAGTCGCCGTGGTCGGCCGCGGCCAGGCAGCACTCGCCACCGTCCTGGCAGTCGGGAGTTGGCACGAACGGGCGTCCTGGTCATCGCTCGGGACCCCATCCTACTCATCCATCCCCTCCTCCTCCCTCCTCACAAGAGTGCCCCAAACTAGAAGCAGGTCATCGCCGTCAGTCTATTGATCGAGTTCCTCGCGGAATCTGGGCCACAGCTGACAGTCAAGGCTGAGTTATCCCAGAAATCGCAAAATCGATAGGGATTTGCCAGTCCTGGTAGCCATGTCCAGAACTCCCTCCCTGCCTCCCTCCTCATTAAGCCTTCGCCCTCCTGCCTTCGGACTGCCTCGTCTGCAATGCGCCCTCGCACCCCTCAGCGTTGGTCCGTCACGACACCTCGCGCGCAGGCCGCCCAACTTGCTGCAACACCATCTCTCTCACATCATTTGCTTCCCTCGCCGCCCCCCCCCTCCTGGGGCACAAACCAACATCCAACTAAGAATGCGCGGCGCGAAGACACGGCTGAGCTGCGCTGCCCCTAGCTCTGCATCCCGTGACCAGTCGCACTCCTGCACGGCGGGGGGGGCAACGAACACCGATCGTGGTGCGGAGACATGAACATCGTTTCGGCCTTCATGGGCCTCATGACATAACATAAACGACATCCAGAAATAAACAACCTGGGTGAGTTCACGATCCGCGCCCCTCTGGCAAATCCGTCACCGTGGCTGGAGGCATATACGACGGGGGGGAACGAGATGCCTCGAATAGCGCTTTGACCAGCAGATTGGCGTACACGTTTCGCTGCACTCATCGGGGTCACACATCACACGCATATATGCGTGTGATGTGTACTGCCTTGGCGCGATGCATGTTTAGTGACAAGGACTGCTGAGGTACGGTTAAATAGGTGGGTACACACAAGTTGCGTCCATACAAACCAGCTGTATAATCAAGCAGATGTGGTGTCCACGGCTCTTGGCGTGTTCATCCTAGGTTGTGTTGTGCTAATCACGCGAGCTGCTCTTGAAGCTGCACATGTGGTAACTGCGTGTAGACAACTCGATGTTGCCCCCCGCTTCACCCATGTCACTGCATGTTGTGCGCTGCGTGTATTCGTTCGTCCATTTTCTGGAAGTCCAAACCTGCATATACGTTCTACGCTGCCCTTGTCGTTGCGCTGTTGAACTTCGTAAGCCTCATTCCGCCCAAACCCCTTCCTTCGTCAAATGCGGAGGCGTAAACCCAACGTGTCCAACGATCACAGCGCAAGACCTGCTCACACCATACCTAGTATGAGCACGCGCCCTGGTTTTCCCACCCGTCGGCAACAATCCTCTTCGTCAGAGGCGTCGCCCTCGTCGGCCTTGCCAGCAGCGTCGTCTTCCTAGGAACGCTCGGGCGTCGCATGGGTGGACGCTCACCCGATCAACAAACAGAGCGAGCACGCACGCGGCAATCGCGTGCACAATCGACAAGGACAGATGTCGTGCTGAGCTGGAAGTCTCAGCGCGTACGCGCGCCTGCGTATGCAAGCGCGCGAACATGTGCAACTGTGCGCGGCCGTGCACACTCGCTTTCGCGCATGACCAAACGGCAAGCAGAGCGGACATCGATCAAGAGATTGACGGTGAGGGCGAACCTACATGTGCTCGAACTGATTCATAATTGATTCGAGTGCGTGTGAATGATCACTCGATGCGTTTCACATTCGGTCAACATGTGCTGCACTGTCTTGTGAACCATCACATTTACCACTCCATCCTTCCCATGCCCCGAGCAAGTGGCACGGCCATCGGAACATCACAATTCTGACCTTTTCCAAGTTCGCAGCATGTGGAATGCTCGTGGGATTATCACATTATCTGCGATTGCTCGCCGTAATGAGGAACTCATGTCGTTCACATTGCCGGCACTAGTGCTTTGAATTCGAACAACTCGCATGCTGAATCACTGCCGTCGAACAAAAACAATCCTGTAGAAAAGGGCCCAATCCGGTGCAGCTGCGTGACACGCATTGCGTGGCCCTCTTCAGCTAACTACGCGAATCGGGGGGATGAAGTTCAGGGCAGAGTGGGTAGGAAAGCTTCGGAACGAACGCGCACAAGAACACTGAGCTCCAGATGGGAGCAGGAAGCGTATGATGGCGCCGAAGCGGGCCTGTGGCGGCATGCGGGCCGCCCCCCATCTGGGACCGCATGTGGAACTCCAATTGGGCCACGGAACGTTCGAGGAAGGTGCAGATCTGGTCACGGGGCGGCATGCGCAACACCCCACCCTGGGCGTGGGTGGACCTCGCTGCCGGGGCGCGAAACGTGTAAAGGGTATGCCGACATGGGTTCGGAGCGGCATGGGCAATATCTTGCTTGGGCGGTAGGTGGGATCCCCCATGGGGAGGCGCCGGGCGTGCAAAGTGGGCGCGGGGCGGCACGCGGGCCACCCCCACTGGGGCCATAGATGGTCCGAAGCGTTGTGCTGGGATTGGCGCGGGGCGGCAGTGGCGACAATCCCGTTGGGGTCGCATGCGGGGCTCCCGTTTGTGGGAACATTTGAGCGCGGACGGGGCGGCATGGGCGACACCACTGCGACCTTCAGAATTCCACAAAAGGGCCATGGAAGGTGTGAGGGGTGTGCCGACAAAAGCGCGGAGCGGCATGCGGGCAACCCCACCGGAACCGAAAGCGGAAACCCGTCGGATCACGCAAGGAAGGGGAGTTGCGCCGACATGCGCCCCCCCGGCGGGAGGCCGCTGGTGGGCTTTCCCGTGGGGGCGCGCGACACGCATGAGGGGTTCGCCGTTTTGGGCGCGGGGCGGGCGTGCCAAGATTGGCGCCTGGGATGTTTTTGCTTGCGCCTGCCCCCCTCCCCCCCGCACCCACGGCCACAAGGGCTCCCAGCAGGGCCCCCCAGCACATCCACTGCCTTCTCCATCCGCCTCAACCGACCCCCTCCCCAGTCGCCGCAAGCCCCGTCTTCCTGCACTATTCGACTCGATGGGGTGCAGGAGGTATTATAAATCCCCCATCACTATTCAAGAACGCGCTTATAGGTGGCCTATAACCGTGAACGTCACCATTCGCGACTGTACGCGGACAAATCCAAGGAAATCATGCGTCCGATGTCGCTTTGTCAAAACCAATCGCGTTGCGCAGCTACTTCCAACAAATTTTCGCGGCCGCGACCGTAACTGGGTGGCGAACTTCGGTATCTCAAATTTGTCGCTGAACTCGTCGCCTGGGAGGTTCGATGCCCAAGCCGCTGCGGCGCCACCGCGGGCCGGACCGCCATTGAATTAGCAGAACGCAAACAATTTGTCTGGCGGCCCGCGGGGCTCCGCCGAAGACCCCCTTTCTCCGCGCGTCTCGAGGCGACCGGCACGAACTTGGCCAGCCTTCGCATCGCCGCATCGGGGGGGGGGAATGGGGAGCCCATGAAGCGGAAAGAGGGTGGGGGACTTGGCGACGGCTGGCGTGGCCCCCAGATGCGCCCAGGAACCCGAAACGCGCGCGTTGGGCCCCTGGGGCGCAGGGAGCACGATCGACCAACGCAGCTCCGCCCCTCACCCCCCCCGACGCCCCGCTGCGAAGGTGTGGTCGCGGGCCGCGACTGACCGAGATCAACGGGGCTTCGCCCCCCCTTCCCCTCCCGCCGCCGCCCTCCCAGCCGCGCCCCGCCACCACGGCGGGCGAAAGGCGACGGGCTCCGATCGGCCCCCTCCGCGCTCTTGAAATGCGACAATTATTTTGCCGGCCCGCGCGCGCAACGAGCAGTGGGCAACTCAGCTGGGAAGCAACGAGCAAGGAGCAAGGAACAGCTGCGCGTTGACCGCGAATGCCACAGCGGACGCGGCCATGTGATGAGTTGCGCGATTGGCGGCCGTGCAAACACTGATGAACCAGCGCGCCGCGCATAAAACTTAGAAATGAAGCCAAGACGGTCTTCTCCATCTCCGCGTGTACCCCATCGATCAACGGGGGCCCCGTCGGGGATGCCTTCAACGCCCGTGCAGAACGACCCGCGTAATCACCCTTGCCGTCCTGTAGGGGCCTCGTCAAATCTGCGGCCCGAAGCTCGAGCCCCAGGTGGCGCATCCAGGTCACTCACCCATGGGTCTCGCCCAGCGGCGCTCCGTCCAGTCTGGCGCGCGGAACCGCGCGAGGACGTCGTCCCCGCGCGCGTGCGCCCAGAAGGTGAGCCGCGCTGCCCCACATGTCGGGCGACCCCAGGGTTTTCGATCTTGAAACAGAACAGGAATATCTGCCAGTTGCGAATTCAGTCGGTGTGGGTACATGCCCCAGAAGCCCGTGGAGCTTTCCCACTACTGCGCCCAGGCTGGAAGCGTTCACAAACGCCGCCAACTGGGGCGTGCTCCCAAAGCGTAACCCCGTCCCGCCTCGCGAACGGAATCCGCAAGGTCGGCGCCGACGGGATTCGCACCCGTAGGCGCTCATTCTGCGATCCGCCTCCTCGAGGCGTGAGCTCCACTCTCCAATCTCGCCCCCGCCGCGCTGCTCGCGGCGCGCGCGACGCTGCCCTTTCGAACCAAAGAGGCCCTGCCGAAATAAGCGGGGCACTGCGTTGCCTCCTAGGGTCTACGCAGGGAAAGACAGACAGAGAGAGAGAGAGAGAATAACCCTAAAACAAAACACACATAACTAATCATATGAAGGAGCTGGTAACGGAAAATTGATACAATAACAGAGACAGAGAGAACGAGAGAGAGGGCAATGAATATACAAGGAGGAGAAACCCACAACGAACATACAGCTCGGCGATATCTGAAATAAGCAAGGGCGATGAAAAGGATTGCAATGAAAGAGAAGGGCGGACAATGAGAACCAGGATGGACGCTCTGTCACTCCCTAGTGCATCTGGGTCCGTGGCCCACACGGGGCCCACTCGACCAGCAAAGGGCCAATCGCGTCGCGGTAGGCGCGAAGGCCCCTTGGGAAACAACCATTCTTCTGAATAGAAATACCCGGAGACTTCTGACAAGGCTGATTAGAAGGCAAGCAAGATGGCCTCAACAGGGCACCAACAGAGACCAGAGTGCCGTAACTGTCGAAGGCGTTGAAAGCAACGAATCAAAAACCACAACGGGGGCCCCGAGTTCGCCCCCATTCGCACCGGCGAGTCCTGGAAACAACGTTGTTTCCACATGCCCTCACATCCGCCACCGGTCGGTCCCCTGTGGCACGAAAGGGTGTCCCCAGGTCCCTTGCCAAACCCCTGAACATCAATCCGCGGTTCTAAAATATTATTGGGTTCCCGGCGCGGCCCCGGGGCCGCCGTAGCGTTCGTTCCCGCATGGCTTTGTTCAAGGCGACGAGGGCGCCAAAACGGGCCAAATGAGCCCCAAGAGGCCGCCCCTGGACGAATCGCCGCACGATCGGTCCAAAACGCCCAAGATGGCCCCAAGACGGCCCAAGCATACCCAAAGGGGCCCCAAGAGGCACAAATCATTGATCCCCCGTGGTTTTTGAATGTTTCTGGCCTGAAGGCCCACGACCCACAACCCGGGCACGGCGGCGGCAAGGGCCGACGGCTATCAGCTCCGGCACGGCGGGCCCGATGCGAGGTCGCTGTTTTCTGCTGGCTCCTGGAGTTTCTAAGCAGGGCTGAACCTAAACGGTGCTTTCCGTCTTCGCTTTGCGTTCGTTCTCCCTCGTTGTGTCTTCAATCCACCTTTGCCGCAAAGCGAAGTCGAACCGAAAGCGGCTCACGAAAACGCCCAAACACCGCTTAGCTCCAGCCCTGTTTCTAAGGTGCCTTCGGTCGATCCTGCCAGCCACCCGGAAGGTCGCGCAAGGACTCGCAGGCGGGGGGAGACACCAGAACGCTCGCCTCCAAGATGGCCCAACGTGGCTGCCGAACTGCTTCCAAAAGGCCAAATCTGGCCCAACATGGCCTCCAAGACGGCCCCGAGGCGCCTCCAAGACGGCCCAGGTGGCTCCAAGACGTCCCGAGATGTCTTCTTGACGGCCTCAGAAGCCCCTCGGAGGCCCCGCGGGAGCTCCAAGCAGGAGGCCAGGGCCCTTGATTTCCCAACTGCTCTCCATGAGTTGAGCATCTTCGCCAAGACAGCCCAAGAGGCCGCCAAAACGGCCCAAGAGGGACTCACGACTGCCCGGGCAGGGACAGTGGGAACTGCAGACGCCCCAAAGGGGCTCCGAAAGGACCTCCACGAGGCCGTAGAAAGATTTTGTCGCTCTCGCCTTCTCGGGGATCCGACGTTCAAGATTGGCCCGCAGGCCCCCAAGATCGTCCCAAGGCCCAAGAGGCCCCCAAGATGGCCCAACGACGGCCAACGACGGCCCCCGAACGACCCAAGGGGCGCCCAAGGTAGTTCAAAAATGGCCCACGAGGCCCATCATGCAGCCCTCGTACGGCCCGAGAAACCATGAAGACCGCCAAAGCGGGCCCCCAATTGGCCCCTGAATGCAAACGAATCCCATAGAGGCCCCCAGGGGCCCCCCTACGAGGCCCCAGTAGAGACCCAACAACTTCTAAAAAAGGCTCCAGGGAAAACCTGAGAAGCGTGAAAAGACCTCGAAAGGCATCCTCTTCCTCCTCCTTGTTCTCCTCCTTTGCCTTCCTCTCCCAAGTGTTCCCCGAAGGGGTTCCACAGCGGCTAAGAGAACACACAGTCCAATAGCTCGGTCAGACTTCGGCCCAGCATTTGGCAGCATAGGCGCTTCAAGAAGGCAGGGGGCGGCGGTGATTCGCCGACGGCGTCTTAGACAATCTTTCGGTGATTCCTGTGACGCCCCGTCTCCTTCTCGCGCCAGCGTCATTCCTCCTCGCGTTCAGACTCAGACTCTCAACGATCACGCTCGCCCAAGTGCGTAGTTACTAAACCCTCATCAGACATACTTGCCGTAATACCACCTGCGGTAAGACAATTTCGCACTTTGCCCACTCGCACCCAGGCCCAGTCGCTATCCGACCCACTATCGCTGAGACGCAGTCGCGCTCTCACTCACGCAGACCGCAAACGCTCGGATCACTCGCGCCAAGACTTTTTCGCACTCAGATCCGCCCGCGATCAAATCCATACACGCTCAGAGCTATGTGCCCAGTCTAGGGAACCGAACTCTATACACCGATGCTTTTTCCTGCCCCGCACTGAAACGCGCACAGGAAAACGGATCATGATGTATACGTTTCCCCTGGAAAACGGAGAACAAAGTATACACCACACCACCTCGACGTCGTCCCCGACCCTCAAAAAGTCCTGGGATTGAAAAACAACCCGCCGCTGGTAATGTATATGCCCCAGTTTCCGACAGTCGGCCAGTGATGCAAAATGAAGATCCCGCCCAGGCCCAATCGAGCGCCACGCGCGCCCAAAAGCTTGAAACCGCACGCCCACTCGCAGTCCCGATCCTCGTTCGCGACGGCGGGGCGCCCAAGCCGGCCCTGCCGCGGAGCACGCGACCGCCTATCACGAGGCTTAGGTCGGGCATGTCCCCATACAGGGGAATTTTGAATGAAAAGTAAAAACATACCCAAACATAAAACCCCAAGCATTCTCAAACATGGTCAAAAAATAGTCCCCATACTACTTTTGGGCTATTCTTGAATATCACGAGGCCCCAGCCGCACACCAAGTCGCCAGGGCGTATCAGCCTGCGCGACGGGGCACCCACGTGACGACGGGGGGTCGGCTCCTCGTCCATCGGACGGCGGACGCCCATGGAGTCCACGAGGACTTTCATCCACTCCGCGGGGACGGCTCAGATGCCAGCCCCAAGGAGCCGCCACGCCATCGAGGAAGCTGGTGACGCGGCGCTGGAAAAAATCGCTGGCCTCCGTCAAGACGTGTCCGCCCTGCACCGCGGACCGGACAGCCGTGGATGCCATCAAGATCTCGCGCGCATCGCACAGAGCCCGAAACGGACGGGTGAGGCTCGCCGAATACGTCGCGCCCGCCCAGGTTTCCAAGACCACCGTCCGACAAAGTGTTCTTGGACGCGAGCCTTCCGCGCGCCACCTGGGCGACCTACGTGGGCGCCTGGTGGCTCGCCTCGAGCGCGGCCGCCTCGCCGTTCCTCGAACTGGCCCTGCCGAAGAACCCGACGGATAATGAAGCCGTCGCACCTGCGTCCTGCAACCCGCAACGTGGATTACTCCACCGACGGTTCCCTCATCGTCCTCCCCCTCTCCTCCCCCCTCCTCCCATATCCTCCTTGGTCCCCACCCTCACCACATCCTTCTCTCCCCCTCCTAACTCTATCCTCGTCCCCCTCCACCGTCCCCGCTCCTCCTCCACCAATTCTTCCACGCCTCTTCCTTGCTCTCCCGCTCCTCTCCCCACGTCCTCCTTCCTCCTCCTCCCTCACTCACCCTTACCTCCCACCCCCATCCCCTCCCGCCACCCCTTCCCCGTCCCCCATCCTTGCTCTCGTCCCGGCGGGGCGGGGACTCACGACCCGCCTCGTCGCACCAGGTGGCCCCGCCACCGCACGACTCGCACGAGCTCCTGGCGGCGGCGACGCCCCGACTCGCCGCTGGGGAGCCTCGCGGGGCCAGACGGTGCCTTCGGGGCACACACGTCTCGCGAGGGGGAACGGAAGGGGGCGGCTGGTTCATGAGCAGGGATCGACTTGATTGGCAGTCGTTTAGGCCTACGACGGCATGCTGTGAGAAATTAAAAATTCACACAACAGGAACAGTGCGTTGATACCATCAGCCGTACATGTTCCAAGCACGCAGTGCACAAACGGCGCTGTGGTCTCATAATGTATGTTGGTCGGGATTATAGGCAGACCAACGCAATTCGTCACTGTTTGAGGCAGGACGGAAAACATTGATGTTGAATCGGCGAAGTGTCATCGATAGATCGGCGATGGGCCCTCGATTGGGCGACTCCACGTTCCTGGGCGTGGTTGGACACCCAAGCCCCGATTGGCGATGACAGGGCGATGGGGGAGGTCGATGCTTCTCCCCAGCACTATTGGCCCCGCAGCTCATGTTGGTAATACGAGGCGGCCATGCGCAACCCCTGACAAAAAACAGGTTCGGTGACACCTGGGAGCCTGAACCCAGAGGAAATCTCGAGCGGGAGCCTCGTCCGTGTGAATTGCAGGGAAGGTCTCGCGCAGGAGCCCCCTCCCTGTGGGGCCCGCAGCTCTTGTTGGTAATCTGAGGCGGCCATCGGCAAGCTTTCTCGTGCAAATTCCCCGAGACGTTGCCCCTGCTCTGACTGGCGGGGCAGGGCGTCCGAAGGGCGCGCGCGGCCTGCTGCAGGGTGGAGGATGCAACCGGGCGCTTCTTCGGGGGGGCGCCACAAGATGCCCACCTTGCCGACCCTGACCAGGCCCACCCTGGGTCCGAGGTCGGTGCATGCCCCCGCCTGGCTCAGCGGCGAAGGCACACAACCATCGTGCTGCCATGAGGCACGCCGAAGGGGAAACGAAGCGGAATTTTCCGGCCGCGGCCAGCCCCGGCGTTTTCTGAAAGTCCCGGGGCCCGTGGAGGGCCCCGAGAACCCGAAAACGGAGCAAAACCTCAGGACCCGTCGCTCTCAGGACCCGTTTCCCCCGCCCCCGGCGCAATGGGCTCCCCGACCCCGCTCCACGGAAAGGCCTGAGCGCCGGATCCCCTCCTGAGCCGGAAGTGGCCCCTGTTGCAGCGTCTCGGCTACACGACGCCGAGATCCTGGTCCCAGGGTGGGCCCCGCCAAGAGCGGGCCGCCGCGGAGGGGAAGCTGGCCCAATCGGCCGAGCCTGCCGGTTTCTCTCGGGCACGGCCTAACCGACCCCCAGCAGACCACCCCCTTCCGTGACGTCATCCTCGCCTTTCAAGCTGCCCTCTGGCGGCCGTCATACACACGCCATGGGGCGAGGCGAGAGGGACCTCACGGAAGGGGATGGTCGTCTGCTAGAGGTCGGTTCAGCTGCCCCTGATTATTTGTCTGAAACCTTGAGCTCTGTCAAAAAGCTATCCGGGGAATGCCTGGATGGCAGTGGGTTCTTCTAAACAACGCCCTGGGTTTTTTGTTTTTCCGTTTTGCATTTTGGAATCTTGACAACCTAAAAACGCAAACACAAAACAGCGCGACGAGTTGTTTAGCATTTTGAGCATAGCTGGTTAGCGTTATCAGGCCCGTCGCTGTGGATCATCATTTCTGTAGCGTGTTTTGCTCTCTGGTCGAAAGCTGTTCCGTGTCTTCCCTGCTGTGTTCACTCCCATTTTTAGTTTCTGCCGCCGTCCTCCCTCGCAGAGCTAAAAACGCAAAGAAAACGCTCTTACATCGGTCCAACACTGGCCCGAAACAGGCCCGGAGGCTCGATGGCCCCAAGAGGGGCAATCGGCCATCGGGCCCAGAGGCCCGACGCCCCAGGAGGGACTCAAAGGACGGCGAGCAGCTGCGAAAAATGAGGACTGCACGCCGGGAGGAGGAACAGAGGGAGTCGTAGACGACAATGTAAAACAATGCGATCACATGATCTGAAAACGCTGGAAAAAACGCAGCTGACAACGAACATACATATACATCGTTGCTTTATCGTCTGTAGTTTTCTTGTTGGAACATGCAAACGCTGAACAAATCATTTCCAACACGCCGGGATTGGGGAAACCAAAAGGTGCCGATACCGCTGCTCCCCGGACCTCTCCTGGGGTGATTTCTGACCAGGATTTCGACGCGAATCCAGCGATGACGATGAGGGCCGAGGAAGCCCCAAAAAGGTAAAACGGGCGGGGGGTAGAGGTATGGGTACCTTGTCCTCTTCTGAGAGTTCCAAAACGGTGAAACAAAACGAACAAACAAAAAAACGCCCTGGGCATATCTAAGCAGAGCCAAGCGCAGTCGAAAGCCCAGCCGAACTGCCCTGTGCGCAGGGCGGGGGCGGGGCTGCGCTGCGCCCTGCGCTGCGCCCAGCCCCCGCCTGCCTTCCTCCCTACTACTCCCTGCCTTTCTTCTCGTCCTCCTCCTCCTCCTCCTGCCTCCCCCCTGCTTTCCTTCCTCCTCCGCCTCCTCCTCTTCCTCCTCTTCCTCCTCCTGCTCCTCCTCCTCCTCCTCCTCCTCTTCCCTTCCTCCTGCTCCACTTCTCCCTTCTTTCTCGGCCCCTGGGCACTCTGCTGACGCTTTCGAACTGAGTGCAGCCAACCCGGATAATTAACAGCACACCGGCGGTGAAGCGCCAACCTACCACCGCCAGGTGCCCGAGGTGGGCCATTCGGCCCCCGCCCGCGCCCAGAGCGGGAGAGGCCTTCTTGCAGACTTCGCGAGCGACGGAGCCCCGCTTGTCAGGCCGCCCTCCTGTGTTGGGCTCTCGCTTTGAATAGAACACTGCTCCTCCTCCTCCTCCTCCTCCTCCTCCTCCTCCTCCTCCTCCCTCCTCTCTCTCCTCCTCCTCCTCCTCCTCCTCCTCCTCCTCCTCCTCCCCCCCCCCTCCCTCCTCGCTCATCTTCATCCTCGTCCTCCTCCCTTCTTTCCTTCCTCCTGCCTGCGCTGCGGGCCTGCGAACCGCGCAAGTGTCGCCATTTTCGTGGGCTCTTGGGAGGTCCAGCGGAGTGAAGGTCCACGCGGATCTGCCGAGACCTCGCGGCTCCCTGCGCGGCGGCGAACCACGCACCTGTCGCCAATTGCGTAGGCTCCTGGGAGGTCCGGCGGAGTGGAGGTCCACGCAGATCTGCCGAGACCTCGCGGGCGGGGCTGCGCGTAGGCTCCTGGGAGGTCCAGCGGAGTGGAAGTCCACGAGGATATGCCGAGACCTCGCGGCTCCCTGCGGGGCTGCGAACCGCGCAACTGTCGCCAATTTCGTGGGCTCCTGGGAGGTCCACGCGAATGTGCCGAGACGAACCGCGCAACCATAACTAATTTCGTAGGCTTCTGGGAGGCACAGCGGAATGGAAATCCACGCAGATCTTCCCAGACCTCGCGGGCTCCCTGCGGGGCTGCGAATCGCGTATTATTGCGGTGCCGTGGACGCGAAGGATTAGGACGGTGAGGGGTGGGGCGAGGAGGAGGAGGAGGAGGAGGAGGAGGAGGAGGAGGAGGAGGAGGAGGAGGAGGAGGAGAAGTGAGGAGACGCTGGGGAAAAAGAGGAGGTGGAGAAGGAGGACGTGGCGGAGGAGGAGGAGGAGGATGAGGGAGAGGAGGAGGAGGGCGAGGAGGAGGAGCGGAGGAGGAGGAGGAGGGGGGGAGGAGGATGGCATGGAGGAACAAGAGGAGGAATCTATGATATGATACTGTTGATCATGATGCTCATGATTTTGTTCATGCCAAAACGAACGATGATGTTGATGCTGCTGCTAATGACGATGTTGCTGATGATGATGCTGCTGCTGATGGCGATGATGATGCTCACGATGTTGATGCTGATGATGATAATCATGATGCTGCTGATGATGCTGATGCTGACGACAGTGATGATGATGATGATGCTGATGGTGATGATGATGATGATGGTGATGGTGATGATGATGATGATGATGATGATGATGCGGATGGGGACGAGACTGTTCCTGATGACAATGAGACTGCTGCTGAGTATGATGATCATGCGGGTAATGGAGGAGGATGAGGGGTAGGGATGTCGATGATGATGAAGATGGCGATACTGATGATGCTGTTAATGATGCTGCTGGTGGTGGTGATGATCATGATGATGATGATGGAGATGGAGATGATGATGCTGAGGATGTTGCAGGTGATACTGATGATGTTCATGGTGACGGTGGTGATGATGATAAAGAGGAGGAGACGGAGGGTGGTGAGGAGGACGAGGAGGAGAACCGAGGACAATGATGACGAGGTAGAGGAGGAGAACGTGGAGGAGGAAGAGGAAGAGTAGCGAGAGGAGGAAGACCAGGAGGCCGATGTTGATGATTATGATGCTGATGATGATGATGCTGCTGATGCTGATGATGATGCCGCTGCTGCTGATGATGATGACGATGCTCACAATGATTATGATGCTGGAAGCTGGCGTTGATGATGAGGAGGAGGATGACCATGACGATGGCGATTCTGCTAATCATGATGTTAATGATGATGAGGGAAGGCTCAGGAGAGAGAAACCGCTCGATGTTTTGCTGCCTTTCTTTGCTCGGGCGCTGTTCTGGTTCGAGGTTCGGGGTGCGCTACCTGGCAGCGCGAACTCTCCTCTCGCCTCCTCTGTCTCGATTGGTCTTCTCTTCCATATTATGCATACACATTGTTACTATCATCGTCCTCATTCTTGCACTTCCTCCCTCTCCATCTCTCTCTCGCGCGCTGTCTATTACGGTCTCTCTCTCTCTCTCTTTCTCTCCCTTTCTATCTCCCTCACGTGTTTCTTCTTTCTCGGTTCGGGCAGTCGGCGATTTGGTGTCAGCGCGGGCGCAGGATGCGCGGCGCCGCCTGTGTGCGACCCTCGAGCGTAAGTTCGTGGAGTACGCCTGATTTCACTCCGCGCTCTTTTGATCTTCACTTCTGAATGCTCCTGCGCACTGTGGGTGTTTTAACAATTTCGCTTGCGATACACCGTCCTC